CTTCCTATCAGCATGAATGGTAGGAAGGGTTTACTCTTCTCTTTATGCTAAGGTTACCATTCATATCATTTTGAAATTTAATAATAGTTTGAATTTAATTATATGACCTCATTATTAATCTTTAGTTCCTAAACCCTAACTGTTGTTTGTCCAAATCTAGGGAGAATCTCTAAGCTAATTTTTTTACATGAATTTCAAATTGAATAATATAACTAGTGGTGATATAATTGGTAATGTTAAGTTGATTTTAAGGTTTCCATATAAGGGTTAAATCTCTCAAACTCCCACTTGTCCTCTCGCAGGAAAAAGTTGTCTAATATATATATATTTTAAATATAATAAGTGGGGTTAGAATTAAAACATTTTGATCGGAGATAAATGCTTTAACCTGTTGAATTAAGCTTAAATTGATAAAGTTCTCACCAAGAAAATTAACAAATAGGATAACATTTTTACATTTATATTTTCTACTAACTCTAAGATTATTGAGATGAACTATTTTTTTTTTATAAGTGATTTATTATATCGATAAACTTTGAGAATATTTCAAACATGAATAAAAATTGAGGAATTAAGTTTTCTAAACAATTAATTTCATCAAATTTCACCTTAAATTTAGACAATGGTTAAAATCTTTAACTTTAATTTAAAAAATTGTCCCAATCTTTGCTGCCTTAAACTTTGAGAGAGTGCAGCAATTTTTACATTAAACTTAAACTTAAACTTGATCAAAATTAATATGGTGCAAAACTTTATTTTCAATGAAATTAGTGCTATGAGAATTTTACATTAATGTTGTTAAGATTAGTGGGTGAAGTAAACCTAAAAATTGAACATAAAATAAAAATTACAACACTATTTATCTAAGTTCACAAATTCACTTTAAAGAAATTATAAGTTTCCAAATAAAATTTATTGATATATCATGCTAAGTTCAGGATAGGAGTAAAACTATACCATTTGAACTCGATCAATTGACAATTTTTTTTTAGAACAATCTCAAGATCAAGACTAAAAAAAAAGAAGAGACCTCTAAAAAAAACTAGGAATCCAAAGTGACAAGGACAACACCAAACAAACAAAAGGAAAAAAAGAAAAAAAAATAGAAATAAAATTAAAGATTATAAAACTAAAAACTCGATTAAGAAAATAAATCTCAATGTGAAATAAACAAGGTCTCTTCAGGTGATAGTAGGAGCAATATTATTAATATTAATAATATAAATTTGGATGGAAATTGTGTGTATAAAAGGGAGCAGAGGAGACCAGATGATGAGATTGGAAAATTAAAGGTGGAGATAAAAGGGTCCACGGAGTAGTGGTTTTTAGGAGCAACACCCAATCATTTCTCCAGCTGACCTTTTTTTCTAACCGACAACCAAATTTTAAGCCACTTTTTGCCTTCCCAACAAAATCTCTCTCTTTTATATGTTATTTTATTCTTCAAGTACTATTATGATCTATTTTTTTTATTTGATTTATTTTAGTATTTTTCAAACAATGGTTTTGGTCAAATTTCAATACAAATTTATCCAGATCTTTTTAAACAAATTTGGAGTTAAATTTCAAGAAGTTTAATGAGTGATGTATATGTTAAAATTTTGATCCAAAGAAACGAGATAAAAATGAATATGAAGTGACCAAAATCATCCTTTTTAAAAAAATACACGGGATAACAATGACCTCCCCCAACAAAATCTCTCCCTGCTTGTTCTTCCTCTACGCACTCTTTTTTAGTATGTTACTTTATTGTATGAATCGAGAATATTTCTATTTCTTGAAATAAATAAATAATTCTTAAATACTATTAGACTTCACGTTACTTTTAAGAGTTAACAACTGATTTATAATAAATGAGAATAATATGAAGAGGAAAAAAATTGAAGCATTATGATCGTACAACTATCATAGTAATAAAAATTTTCTCACACATATTGTTGACATCGCTAACAATGAAAATGAATAAGAGTAGTATGCCTTTTGGAAATTCTTTTTTTTTAATGATTTTTTCCACAGCCATCATTGTTACACGTGTCATCCATTAGACGGAACTCATTCCCAATCCTTTGACTTTGACCACCTTAGTCAATAAAACCCTAACCCAACTCTAAAACCTTCATTTTTTTCCTCTCCCCCTTTTGTATGACCCTTTCTTCACCTAATTACCCTTTAAATCTCTCCATCTTTCCCTTTCTTCTTCCTTTCTTCTTCTTCTTCTTTATCCTCTCCACAACTTCCATGGCGGTTTCACCAATCAACTCATCCAGCTTAGAGCTCTCCATTTCCATGCCGGGCTTTGCTTCTTCCCCGGCTCGTCCTTCCTTCGGTAAGCTCTCCAACATAGCTCAACAGTTAGCTAATCTTTTGTAAAGGGTCTGGTTTTCCAGTAACAATGAGATTTTGTGCAGCGAGGGAATTAGACATGAACCGGGTACCCGCGGGGGCGGTGGCGGAAGAAGAATGGGCGGTGGCACTGAGCACCGAGGAGGAGGAAGAAGAGAGCAGCGCTAATGGAGGTCGGCCGAGGAAGAAGCTTCGTCTGTCGAAAGATCAGTCTCGTCTACTTGAAGAAAGCTTCAGACTCAACCATACGTTAAACCCAGTGAGCAAATTCATCTGAAAATAGTAATCTTTTAGTTGGTTAAATTTTGGAAACAAAATGACATAATTTATGGTTTTGATTTGTTTTTCAGAAGCAAAAGGAAGCTTTGGCTATGGAGTTGAAGCTGAAACCAAGGCAAGTTGAGGTCTGGTTTCAGAATCGTAGGGCCAGGTTTTTTCCTACCTTCTCTTCTCTATTTCATTTGGTTCAACAAATTGACCAACGATAAATGAGGGAGTTTATTTGATAAAGTTAAGGTTGAACAAGACAACTTAGAAAACAAAATATGGTATCAAAATTTTAAGGGCATCCAATAAACTTTCTTTTCAATAACTTTTACCATAATATGGGACCTGTGGCCGAATTTTTTTATAAAAGGTTTTTATTATAGTATAGAGTGAATTACCAAATTTGGTTATAAATCTTATGGTTTAGGCATCATTTCAATTTTTTTTCTCTTGGTGGAAGATATCAGCCAATTAACGCTGAGCTAAGCTTATGTTGGCGGCAATTGAGATTATGCCTATAAAGAATGAGTTTGAAACTTTAAAAATATAACTATAGGGACCAAATTGAAGTAAATAAACTAAATTGAAGCTTTTTAAAACTATAGGAGTAAAATTTAAGTGATGTCATAACCATAATAGGGATGAAATTTGTAATTTAATATCTAGTATTCTACCCAATTTTTATATGAACTAAAGTTTGATAATCTAATTTTATTAAAATTTAGTTTTCAATAGATGAAAGTGCATCTCAACTTTCTTTGTGACATGACTTTTAAGTGTAATTTAACCAATTTTAGTTTTGAACATCACCTTTTAAGTAGTTATTAAATTTAATAATATTTTATGAACAATATAGGCATTATTGTTAACACTATTATATGGGAGAATATCAAGAATTAAAACTAGTATAAATTTGTTCATAAAAAATACATATGGTGGGATTTGGAGGAAAAATTAAAGAAAATAATAGAAATTGAAATGCTTAAATTGGAGATCTAGACTGAGCAACACAATGACCTGCATAGAACTCGAACATAAGAATATAACTAAGTTGTGCATATATATGTTCGCTCCGACAATTAAAACAAACAATTTCAGAAGATTTTAAAAGTCAAGAAATAGTATTTGAAAGGGAAAGAACTTGATCTAATAATATATCAATTAATTGTAGGAGCAAGTTGAAGCAAACGGAGATGGAATGTGAGTATTTGAAGAGATGGTTTGGAACATTGACAGACCAGAACCGTCGGCTACGCCTTGAACTGGAGGAGCTGAGGGCCATCAAGGTTGCTCCACCCGCCCTCATCTCAGCCCCCACCCGTCAACCGACCCTCCCGGCGTCCACCGTAACCATGTGTCCGCATTGTGAGCGCGTAACCGCTGCCTCTATAATATCCGGTAAGGCTGCAGCCCCCGCCACCGCAGTCACCGCCACAATGCCATCGAAGGCACTTCTGACCGCCCACAAACTGCGGCGGCCATCGGCCGCTTGCTGATCGGCCGGACAAGAGGCCGAGAAATGAAGAAGATAATAAATAATGGCAAAGGTTAGAAAATGAGCATAGGCCTTTCATTCCTCCATTGAAAAGAAAATCTGCATGGGGTTTTTTTTTTCTTTCTTTCTTTTTTTTTTAAATTATTATTTTTAAATTTTTACGTGTAAAGTAAGTGAGTTTTCTGACTTATTCACTACTTTATGTAAAAAAATAATAATGAGCTTTTTATAGATTGGTTGGGTGACACCCAATTAAATTAAAAGATATAGTTCATTTGACTTTTTAAATTTTTTTTTATATATGAATTATCATGAGAATTTTTTATTTTTTTTCCTACAATGAAAAGGGTAAAAATTCAATACAAAAAAGTGGAATTGGAAAATTAATCAAACGTTGTTGTTCCATATTTGTCAAACTTAGAAGATCCACCTAACTTAATTCAACCTTGTAATAATCGAATTTATAGATTTGGTTATTTAAATTATTTATTCTAAAAAGTATATCAAATTGTTGAAAGGAATTCAAAACTTTAAAGTTTTCCCATTCAAGGTCCGCTGAAGGATTATATGTTATTTTTTAACAATACTTTAAAAATAATTTAAGATATTAAATGATATTGTTCGATTCAAAGGAGAATGAAAAAGTCTCTAAATCTCATATGGATTTCAAAATCCTAGGCCCGAGTCATCACAATCATCCGACATGTATTACTAATAACACATTTTAATTTAATAATGATTGAATCATACTAAAATAATTATTGAATCTATATAACCAGTCTACTATTTTATATGGGTATAAAAATAGAAATACTAAAATGTTTATATATGGAATTTGCCAACTCTCTATGGCCATTCTTTGGGTTTATCCCTATTTAAGTTTCTGGCCCACAATGGAGTTTGTTTTGGTTCCCCTTGAAGAAGAAACCTCTCTAAGATGGGCCTACAAATCTTTACAAGGTGGGCTTTCTATTATGTTTTTTTCTTAATGGTAACAAAAAGGCCCATAAAAGGCCCATAAAGTAGGCCCATCACCCAATGCTTCAGCCCATCGTATGATATTGGTTTGGTGTATATCTTATATAAAAATGTGAAAAATCATCTATACATCTTCCATTTAAAAGAAATAGCCAAAATTTTAAACAAGTTATTTTATGTATTATTATTATTTTGCATATTTATTGTGCCTATTTTACCCTTCTCCATATCAATAAATAACATTTTTTTAGTACCAATAAAAATAATTCAATACAACATTAATTATAATTTGAAATGTTAAATTTCAGATTTTATGTATATTTTAGTTAACCCTTATGGTAAGTTTATTTATTTATGTAAGAACCCTATTGTTATAATTAATTTGATTAGTTATTAAAACCATTTTTCTAGGGCTAATCTGAGCATAGTTGAACGGTTAAGATACCTATGTCCAACAAAAAGATCGTGAGTCAACCTTTTGATTGGAGGTATATACCAATTACCGCTGAGCTATGCTCTCTTTGGCCAAGCGCAACTATCTTTCTATTAAAAGTCCCTAAGTTAGAATAATAAAATGTTATGTAAACTGCTCAAGAGAGAAAATAAATTATAAAATAGAATAAGAATTCCTATTTTCAGAGGGTATAAATGGATAAAATTCTAAGGGTAAAAATTAAACGTCGTGTATAAAAGAAGATAGTAAAAAAAATACTTGTATTTCTTTCACGAAGATATTTGTAAGTTATTTATATTCCGTACGGATACATACTTGAAAACTCGAATTCATTTTTGAAAACTGTTTTCGAATTTTATGTGATCCAAATAGCAAAAATTCTGAAAACGACTTTTTAATGTTATAAGTGTTTTCAGATTCAGAATTTGAAATTGTTAAGATGCAGAACTAAATTAAAAAGAATAAAAAATCTTTGATAAATATATTACTTCATATTATAAATTCATTTTATGTTTGTTAAAATTAAAACATGTAAAATGTAATGTCTAAATTATGTAAAATAATAATTATACAAAATTGATAAAAAAATGTTAGTAAATTAATTGATATAACTTTAGATTAAACTAAATAGTTAGTTTGTAATTACTTATAATTTACAAATATATTACTAAACACATCCTTAACCATCTTTTAAATTGATATTCAATTACCAAATCTACCACAAAACACATATATGAAAACAGTGAAAACAAATATTACAATCCTGATTTTCATTAATCCCTTGTTTTCAGATTACGAACTAAACACAACCTTACTTATTCATGAAATGTGCTTCCCATATATGTAATGTTTTTTTTAATTAATAAATAAATTAAGACCAATCGATTTGAAAAGTATTGATGACCTATGACCAAGATCCATCAACTTTTCTATTACCAACTTCATCCCAACACATGAAGGTCTTGCAATCTACCCTATCGTAAAATGTTTTGAATTAAGGAAAAGCGTGGTTTTGGGTTCTTGAGTTTTCACCTAGGTCATTTGAATCCATATGTTTCAAAATTGTGCACTTTTGGCCTCTGATTCTAGAATTGGCACTGCAGTAGGTGTCTCACAGAAAAGATGACTAGGCTGACCTGACATATGTGAGTTAGAAAATACCATAACGTTAGTGGATATTCACCTTGTGTTATGCCCATATATAGCATATCGCAATCTAATAAATGAGGGACTTGATCAAAGACCCTCATATGTTCATGCGAAATATAACATCACGTTGTCAATCCATGTGGTACCGAGCGTTGTTGGCCATCGCATAGCAAGATTGGGCTAATCCATGCAATCACTGGACGCGTTATTGGTGACACGTAGCAAAGATCAGATAGCTTAGTAATGCGATCATAAACCCTAGCGTGTCCATATGGAAAGATAAAATCGTGCTGGTCTTCGCTATGCAATCACAGTTCTGCGATGCTCCTTGCAGAACTTGATCCTTAGCCCTATCGCAGTGCTAATCATAAGATCATGTTACTCGATGCTTATAATTAACACATGTATGGCGTATATGTAAAGTCAACGTTAATAACTTCTTGAAGAAGTCTCATATTGCATAAAGGGTTTTTTTTGAAGCGTCTAGTAAGAGACTGAAGATAATTTCTCATAGTTCTTCCTTCGATTTCTCGTATTCCTTCCGTGAATTTTCAAGGCTTGATCCTTGACGAAGGAAACCTTTTGCAATATCGGTACTCTTAAGAATAAAGTTTTCATCATTATATAATCAACTGATGACGATTTTAATG